CATATGATTATCTGTTCGTGGTCGATTAATCACTCTCTCTCTCTACTTGTCGTGGTCTACTCCTCTTTGTGACTCTCAGATCTTAATCGACTATAAGGTAATCCTCTTGTCCACTTTTCATTGGTCCTTTAGATTTTCCTTTCCACGTCATCAAGTGAAGATTTCATTTGCTTTAAACTGTGTCGTTTTAATAAAGGTACAATAGTCTTTTGGCTTTTCCATTACCAAAATCTTTGGTCATGGACTAAATTGCAACAAATTCATAGTTTTTTTTTTTTTTTTCAGGAGTTAGTTGCAATACCCCAATAGCTCAAGGGTTTTTTTTTTTTTTTTGGTATTTTACCTATTTTTTTATTTTTATTTTTCTTGTCAAAGAGATGTGGAATAAATTGGGCGCCAACCCCTATCAGATTCAGGTTGACAACCTTAAAAGACGGATTGACTCACATTGAGATTGTGTTTCAGTAAACTTCTTTTCTAGGGTTTGAATTTCTTCTCTGTGTTTCAGCTACAAATACGATGTCTTCCAATGTCAAGAAACTGTTTAGCTCCAATCCCGCATGACTCCCGGAATGGTTCACAACAATCTTGATAAATTTTATTAAACTTGATAATTTTGGTGAGTAAAGTAGGGATTGGGGTTGGGATTGAAAATACAACACTTCGTGAGCAACATAATCTTGTCCATCTTTAAGATATCGTGTGATCACATCTTTCCAATCATCTTTTTCACAGGTATACTTCAATTCGCTGATATGAAGATAAAAACTACTGACATGTAATGGATCACGTTTCTCCAATCATCTGGTTGGGATTGAAAATACAACACTTCGTGAGCAACATAATCTTGTCCATCTTTAAGATATCGTGTCATCTTTCCAATCATCTTTTTCACAGGTATACTTCAATTCGCTAATATGAAGATAAAAACTACTGACATGTGATGGATCACGTTTCTCCAAATAATGCACAATTGTTGTATACTATTTGAACCTCTCATTTTCAGTTAGAAGCACCAGATGATTCCTCTGATTTTTTGCGCTATAAGATTAAAGCAATTCAATGAGGGTGGGATTTAAAAAAAATACAGAAATGATATTATTCAATGATATAATTAGATAACTCACTTGGTCATTCCCAAATTAAAGAATATAAAAAATGAATCCCAATCTAAAGGTGCACCTTCTGGTTGAGTTGGCCTAATCTGACTATTTAGAACCTTTTTGAGGTTCTGAAGTCCTCCCTCTTCAAATAAAGACTTTCTCTTGTATTTTTCAATTCAAACTTCTTGGAGACGGGAAGAATAAGATGTGTAGTGCTGGCTCTCATCACATATGAAGAGGGATTTGCCCCATGTGTTATCCCTTCCTCGTGGAGATATTGGATAGTATCCAATATGTTTTTGACGGAGTTTCTCCAGGGATTGAGTTCAAATTGCCTAACTTATTTGGAGTTTCTCCAGAAAGGGCTTCATGTCAAATAAATAAGTTAGGCAATTTGAACTTAATCCCTTTATGGAGAAACTCCATCAGAAACATATTGGATACTATCCAATATCTCCACGAGAAAGGGATAACACATTGGGCTCTAGCAGATCCCTCTTCATATGTGATGAGAGCCAGCGCTACGCATCTTATTCTTCCCGTCTCCAAGAAGTTTGAATCGAAAAATAAAAGAGAGAGTCTTTATTTGAAGAGGGAGGACTTGCAGAACCTCAAAAAGGTTCTAAATAGTCAGATTAGGCCAACTCAACCAGAAGGTGCACCTTTGGATTGGGATTCATTTTTTATATTCTTTAATTTGGGAATGACCAAGTGAGCTATCTAATTATATCATTGAATAATATCATTTCTGTATTTTTTTTAAAATCCCACTCTCATTGAATTGCTTTAATCTTATAGCACAAAAAAATCTGAGGAATCATACGGTCTTTCTAACTGAAAATGAAAGGTTCAAATAGTACACAACAGTTGTGCATTATTTGGAGAAACGTGATCCATCAGTAGTGTTTATCTTCATATCAGCGAATTGAAGTATACCTGTGAAAAAGATGATTGGAAAGATGTGATCACACGGTATCTTAAAGATGGACAAGATTCTGTTGCTCACGAAGTGTTGTATTTTCAATCCCAACCCAACCCCTACTTTCCTCACCATAATTATCAAGTTTAAGAAATTTATTAAGGATGTTGCGAACCATTCCGGGAGTCATGCCCGCACATTGATGAGAAAGAGAATGACTCGGGGAAACAATGCGTTGAAGGTATGATGAATTTTAATTTTTTTAAATTTTTATTTAGTTTAATTATTTATTATATATTTTTGTTTGCCTAGGACTATTTGGAATCTGAGTCATTTTTTTCCTGGATTTTTTTCCTATCAAGGATTTCTTAGGAAATGTATATCCATCATGTGTAGTATTAACTATTTCTTAGGAAATGTATATCCATGATGTGTAGTATTAACTTTTTTTGTGAATTTCCTGAAGCACCCATTCAACTTTGTAAGAAAGCACCCAGTCAACTTTGTAAGAATTTGTTCTGAAATCCGGTGATCGTGATCGTAACACTTTTTTATTTTTCTTAATAGAAACTAGAAAATTGTATTATGGATGCCTTTTATTTTCTTTTTTCTTTTCCTCTTGAACTGGCATTAACTTGACTTGTTGCACCACTCCAAGTGTCTTGGCGAACACCTATATTCAAAAATGAACATCTGTATTTTGATGCATGAGGATGCAGGTATGTCCATATTTTAAATTTTATTTATCAAGAGGCAGAATTATAACAATCCATTCTAGAAGTGTCATCATTCTAGGATTTTGACATGGAACCAAATTATGGGAGGTGGATGGGCTTATATGTTGCATATTTTCGTTATTAGTGCTTTATGTGCTCTAAACAAGCTCATTCCCGATTCCTAACTTGGGTCTTCATAATTTGCCCCATTTCTTAGTTTATGATTTCTTTGTATTTCCACATGGGCATATCTTTTTGTGCATTGCAAAGCAGGGTGCTCATTTTACAAACATGTTTATTAGTTTTTTAACATTGTTTTACATAAAATATGACTAGTTTATTTATTTTTTAATAGATTTGTCTTTTCAGCATTGCAGGTATATATCAATTGCACCAAGTTACCAGCACCATTAGCAGTAATTTGATTGACAATCATTTTGAATAAAAATGTGCTTTGTTTTGTTGACGATTGACGTGGTAAAATTGCATCGACAGAAGGACATATGCTTATTTGTTTATTTTTGTAATTATATTAAATTTGATTTTTTTAAACCAATATATCCATAAATCTTCTACTCTTAATAATAAATATTATAGTATTTTTTTGTCAATTTAATGGTTGGCTCGTACCTCATGTATTCTGCACAAAACACCAAAGCAATAGATTAAAGCACGGGAGACAACATGAGTAAGGTAGTATATTTTCTTGGGTCCAGCAAAGGCAGAGCTCATGCGATTTTTTATTTTTATGAATTACTGGAGAAATGCAGCATTCCTTGCTGTATTTGCAATGTGATCTTCAATATCATTCCTTGTGATTGGGGACATTGCAAAGGTATGATTTGAAGCATATTTGGGCTTCATCTCATCACACTAAAATCAATTTCTTATTTTATTTTTTATCCATCCACACCGTGAAGTTCAATATTACACTTTCTGATTCCTCAATTTTGTGATGAAATAGGTCACCCTGGTTTTGTTCAAAATTCGAGGTACATTTCATATTATAAGTGACACGTGGGCGTTGTATAGTAGACTTAGTGGTATTGCCCCTTACTCACAGTTGGTGCTTAATGATTCGATCTGTTGACTTATCACACTAAAACTGACAAAGTCTCTCTCTTTAAATCTCTCTCTCATTTGTAGTGTATGCTAGATGGTCAAAGATTCAAGTTCCAAAATACTGTAATATACAGACACGCACAAATAAGAAATCAGAGACCAAAAAAGATCCATCTTGTGTGAGCTTCAAAAGCAAGTGGGTTGTCTTTGAAGTCATCAGATCTATGATGAGGCAAAACTGGGTTAAGGCTTCAAGTGTATATTAAACTTCATATTATTTCATTCCACCTTATGTATTTATTTATTTCTGTATTTATCTAGTTAATTTTTCATTATGCTTTCAAGTTGAGTGAAAAGAGAAAACAAAAACCTTTCATGTGAAAAATGCATAAAGTTTTTTTTTTCGCCTGTTCAAAATAATTCATTTTGTTAGAATTGTATATTATTTGAATTCATTCCATTTATTTATTCCAAGTTATCTTCCCAGATTTATTTTTTGGAATTTTTGAGCCTCTGAGATGATGGTTAGAACTCTGAATGATTTGTATATGGCTATTTATATTCTATATTGTTTTGTATTGTGCCTTCAATTTGTGTTTCAGTTGTATATATCTTATGAATGAACCTAATGGTTGCCAAAAGAAAGAAGAATATAAAACTGGGAATAAATTTTTTTTTTAATCTGCCAAAAATTTCTTTTCTTTTCTTTTCTTTTCTCCTCTCCTCTTAGCACATATAGCAGAGGAATCAAATAGTTGTTCGAATTTTTTCATGGATTTTGAATTTTCTTTGAATGAATTTTCTTTGTTTATGCCCAATGTGTAGCTATATATATTGTTGATAAATTGGGTTATGTTTCTCATGTATTGTTTTTGGTAGTTGATTAACTTGTTGCATTATTGCCTTGATGGAGATTTTTCATGCCTTATTGTTCTACATTTACTGCAGTTTTAGCACTTTTTCGAGTTACACTATTGTTCGGTCTTTTGAGTAAATTTCCCAAACAAATAGAATACGAAATCAAGCATATAGCAGTTTCTAGACTTCCATAGCAGAAGATGTATACTAAAGATGAGAAGGTAAGCATGGCAGAAGATGATGTCTTTTGAGTAAATTTTCCAAACAAATAGTATACTAAATCAAGCATATAGCAGTTTCTAGACTTCCATATCAGAAGATGTATACTAAAGATGAGTAAGCATGGCAGAAGATGATATCTATATGAAAGATGGGACGGTATATTACAAAAATAATCTTACGAATAAGAAGAAAACAGGAACATGGAAGGTATGTCCCTTTATTCTAGGTATGCATCTTATTCATCAGTTACTCAAGTTTAAAGAATTTGAAATTTGTGTCAAAAATTTTATAGACTTTTTGGTGATTGGCAGGAAATGAATGCTGTGAAAGGTCAGCGTACTATGGAATGAGCATCAATGTGGTGCTTTATTTCAAGCATCATCTGAACCAGCACAGTGCTACCACTAATAGGAGCATTTCTGGCTGATGCATATATCTAGGAAGATATTGGACAATTGCCTGCTTCTCAATCATCATGGTAAGTTATGTTTGTGAAACTTTATTGACTTAAATATCAGCTTGGTAATTTGTCTTGTACCTATGGAAATCCATATGGGGTTATTTAAAATGACATCGGATATTTCTTCTTCTATAGCAATATGTGTAGAAATTTGTATCACCATAAAGAAGCGTACAAATATGCACACACACACACACACACATAGATATATATATGAACCTTGTTGGAAAATGATGTGTGAAAGAAGAGCACATTTTTTGTTAAAATTGACAGCTTTGTTTTAGATGCATAAGAAAAATCCAGGCTCATACAAAATTGGTTTTTGAAATTATCATTGACTAACTTAATGTACCAAAAACGAAGTCGAATGGCTATGACTATTAGCAGTTAAATGGAATGCCTCCTTACTTCATCCGCTCAATTCAGCCTCATGGATTACAATGCAGAAAGAAATTTTAGCTTAGTCTTAAAAACATACATTGGTTTGAATAGTACATTCTTGCTATATTACGCTGAAATAACCCAATTTCATGTAGGGAATGACACTGTTGACATTGCCAGCATCCATTCCTCGCATAAAACCAACCTGTTATGGTAATGATACTTGCGACCCCACATTTAGACACAGTGCAGTGTGCTTCCTTATAGCTATGGGGGACTGTAGGAATAAAGCTCTGGGGATTGGAGGAATAAAGCCTTGTGTCTCATCCTTCGGAGCAGATGACGACGCTGACTAGGTTGAGAAAAAACACGAGTTCTTTCTTCAACTAGTTCTATTTTTCAATAAATGTTGAAGCACTCATTGCCTCTTCTCTTCTGGTTTGGATTCAAAATCATGTGGGCTGGGGTTTCGGCAACTGTGGCCATGGCGATTGTAGTAGTGAGTTTCTTTTCAGTTACTCGATTGTATGACCAGAAACCTAGAGGCAGCCCTCTAACACACATTGCTCAGGTGCTGGTGGCATACTTAAAGAAATACTGAGTTGAAGTGCCTGCTGACAAGTTTTTTTTGTATTAGACGGCAGATGCAAAATCTTCTATCAAAGAAAGCCGCAAGCTTGATCACGCACCTTTGTAGGAAGTCCCTTTGTAAGCACATCTGCAACTTGCTCGGTAGTAGGAATGTACGGCATATAGATCAATCCGTTTTCGAGCTTTTCCTTGATGAAGTGTTTGTCTACCTCCACGTGCTTTGTTCTGTCATGAAGTACTGGATTGTGAGCGATCGAAATAACAGCTTTATTGTCACAGTATAATTTCATAAGCAACGGATTAGAGACCTTTAATTCTTCCAATAGTCTCTTAATCCATAACACCTCACAAATTCCAGTAGCAACTGATTTAAACTCGGCCTTTGCGCTGCTTCTTGCTTCCACATTCTGTTTTTTACTCTGCTAGGTGACAAGATTATCTCCAACAAAGGTGCAGTAGCCAGAAGTTGACCATACCAGCACTCTCAGCCCAATCCGCATCATTATAGGCTTCAACTTGCAAATGCCTACGGTTTTTTAATAGTAGACCTCTTCCAGGGGCCCCCTTTAGGCATCTGAGAATTCTGTAGACTGCATCAAAGTGTTCTCGTCCAGGTGAATGCATGAACTGGCTAACCATGGTGACTACAAAAGCTATATCTGGACGTGTATGTGACAAGTAGAACAGTCTTCCAACAAGTCTTTGATACTGCTCTATATTTAGAACTTCTTCATCTTTAGAAGGTTGCAGCTTAAGGTTGGGCTCAATGGGTGTCTTGACTGGTTTACATCCTAGCAGACCTGTCTCACTAAGTAAATCAAGAACATATTTACTTTGATTCACAAATATACCTTCTTTGGATTCCAAGAAAGTATTTTAATGCACTCAAATCCTTGATCTCAAAGTTAGCTGCAAGTCTTTTTACAGCTCTCCCAAATCACCAAGCTCTAGGGGACTCTGTTTGAGACCATATAAAGATTTTTTCAGTCTACAGCCTTTATTAGGTCCCAATTTTTCCTAAAATCCAGGTGGTAGATTCATAAAGACGACCTCCTCAAGATCTCCATTTAAAAAGGTATTTTTTACATCTAACTGGTGTAATGGCCAGTTGAAAATTCACAGCCAAAGATAACAAGATTCTGATTGAGTTTATCTTGGGTACAGGAGCAAAAGTTTCCAGATAATCAATTCCATAGGTCTGGGTGAACCCTTTTGCTTTGCCTTGTACCTCTCTATGCTACCATCAGCTTTACATTTCACAGTAAAGACCCATTTACAGTCTACTGTTCTTTTCTCTTTAGGTAAATCAACTGCCTCCCAAGTACCACTTCTTCTAAGAGCATTCATCTCTTCCATCCTGCTAACTTCCAATTCGGATCATCAAGAGCTTCCTGAATGTTTCTTGGGACAAACAAGTGTGAGATTTTTGAGGTAAAAGCCCTATGAGTATGAGAGAGTTTTTCATAAGAAAGGTATTTGGCAATGGGATATTTTGGATTTGGATATTTGTAAGAAGTACTGTAGGCCGAGGACAGGTAAATGAAGTCGTTCTTGGATGTTGCGAGGTTACCCCATCTGTTTCATGGCGGAACTGTTAGATCTGCAAACAATTATCGAGGGCATTCGTTTTTTCTGGATAACGATTCGGTTGGAAGAAGAAGAGAGGACCTTCGATCATGTTTGGTGGGTAAGTTCGACAAGGATGTGGGTGATAGGGCTCAAATCGCGGATTGGGCTTCACGTGTTTGGAAGGTTTCTTCTGGTGTTGTGGTTTCTCCTCTACCAGATTCTTTGTTGCTATTTCACTTCCCCTCTTCGAAGGAGGCTTCTCGTGTGCTTAAAGAAGGTCGACGTGATTGGGGGACGGCCACATTACGAGTGGAATCTTGGAGTTTTAGGGTGGGGTGTTCCGAGGTTTTGAAGGATAAGGGACTGAAGATTGTAACGATGTATGGTCTCCCTCTCCATCTTTGGAGTCATGCCCTGTTTGTGAAGGTCGGTGATCTTTGTGGTGGTTTCATCTGGGTGGATGCCGATGAAGCAATTCACGCTGAAAGGGTTTGCATCACAGTGTCCGATGGCAAGGCTTGTCCTCCTTTTGTTTTCATTCACGATGATTGTCTCTGCTACAAAGTGAAGATGTGGGAAGAGAAGCCTCCTGAACTTGTGCCGACGACGGATACTTTGGAAGGAGGTGATGGTTCGCATCTGCTGAAGGAGACAAAATGGTTAAGGTGGGAATCTTTGGGGAAGAAAGGTTTGGCTGAGTTTTAGAGATGGGAGAAATGGAGGGACGATCTTTGGAAGCGAAACTCGGAATGTTTTAGAAGATTATTCACTCAAAGAAGGAATGAAGGCTTTTCGGATGGGATTGATCTTCGACGGCAAGAGAGATACCGGAAAAGGCATAAAGGTGGTGGTCTCATCGAGTTTGGCCGGCCGGCGTTCACGCAGATGTGGAGGAAGGAGCGTCACCATGGTGTTTCTCACGTCAATCAAGCGCATGGGAAGGGGAACATGGATGGCCATACACGTGGTTGGCGCAGAGGACTTGGCCGTTCAAAATGGATGACAGTTGCATCCACTGTTCTTTCAAAACCTTAGGCTCCGAACAATTGTAAGGCTGATTTTGGTAATAAATCGGTGGTTGGGCCTAATAATGGGCCGGTGGTCAAGGTTTCTAGATCGAACCCATATTCTTCTGGTGGGCCTATGGTTGGCGAGCCTGGATTGATTGATGAAGGTAAATTGTCTTCTTGTGATCCGGATGGAGGTGGAGCGGCCCACTCTTTAGATGTTGTATGTTTGGGCCAAGGTTCAATTAACTTGGGTTGTGAATTGAAGGGAGGATCGGGTTCTTCTAATGTTTTTTCTGGCCAGCATTGGACAACCGCTACGGGCCTTTATGTGATGTTGTGGAAGACGACGTTCATCCGTCCAAAGATTTCCCAGAAGGTTCAAGAAGACATCGTCGTCCTAAGGGGCATTTGCAGGGACATCGTATGAAGAAGAAAGTGCTTCTCCCCCCTCTTCACAAAAGATGGTCTAGAAAGGAAAAGCAGAAGTGGATTCCGGTTTCGCAGATTGACACTGGATCGGGTATGTCTTTTGTATCGCCTGATCCTTCTCCTTCTCTACCTTCTTCTTCCTCTTTTCACCTTTGCGGGGTATCACGACGAAGCTTGGTACCGAAAAAAGGAGTGGTGTCTTCTGTTTCAAAATGCTTGTCTCCGATTTTTGAAAGGGAGCCGGTGCCCCTTTTTGAGAAACGACATGGTGAAGACGGTAGTGTTGTGATGGGTCCCTCTCGGTTGTGTGATGTTAGCAGTGACGGAATTACTCTGTGTGTGGGCCGGGATGTGAAGATAAGGATTGACGATGCTTCAGCTGCTGTGCTCTTGAACGATTTGAGGGCTCATCTTGTGTCAAAGGGTTCTCTTTTTGAACAGAATGATCTTTTGGCTGATGAGGTGTTTGGGACCCCACTTTCTAGCTGCTCTCCATCTTTGTCATCTGTTGAGTATGGGGAGGATGGGTCGTGTTCCTCTGTTCATGGGGATTTGGGTATGGTTCGGATGCGAGTATGATGTTGATTTGCTTACACCTTTGGCTGCTGTTAGACCGGATTGGAATTCTGTGGAAGGGATGGGATTTGATGCAGGGTTGGCTGATTTGGAGAATGAATGGATGAAGGAAAAGGGAGTTGAGATAGGTTCTCTTTTGGGTGTGTCTTTTGAGGGTCGGATGGAGGAGGCGACAGATTTATTCCTTGATGTTCTTAATGCTCAGTTTGCGGTTAGAACGGATAGTAGGGGGAGTGTTCCAGTGGAAAGAGAGGAGGAAGGGAGTCCAAGTCCCTCGACTCTCGTTACTTATGAAAGGAGGAGGAGGGGACTTGGACTCTCGTTACTTATGAAAGGAGGAGGAGGGGGGCTAGGGAGAAGGCCAGTGGAAGGAGGGATGAGACGGTTAACACTACTGTTTCCCTATGAAGCTTCAAAATCTTTCATGGAATGTCCGGGGTCTCAACGACCCGGCTAGAAGGAAAGTGGTGAAATCGGTGATTCGGAAAGCGGGCGGTTATCTAGTGTGTCTTCAAGAAACCAAGATTGCCTCGATGTCAAATGTGATTGTTCGAAGTTTGTGGGGTGGGAGATTCGTGGAGTGGTTTGCCTTGGATGCGATTGGCTCTTCGGATGGTATCCTGATCATGTGGGATGTCCGATGGATCTCTTTGTTGGACTCTTAGGCTGGGCTCTTCTCGACATCCTGTGTTTTATCCATGGTGGAGGATGGCTTTCGTTGGGTTTTTTCTGGAGTCTATGGGCGTACGGAGGATCGTGATTGCCATTTGCTCTTGGAGGAGCTGGGGGAGATTCGTAGGCAATGGTCGCTGCCATGGTGTATCGGGGGGGATTTCAATGTGGTGCGTTCCCCTTTTGAGAGGTCAACAGGGGGCAGGTGGACGGCTGATATGATGGCCTTCTCAGAGTTTATTGATGCTTTTGGTTTGCTTGATTTGCCTTTGGTGGGTGGGCCTTTCACGTGGTCCAGTGGACATTTTCCTCTGTCTCTTTCACGTCTTGATAGATTCTTGGTGTAGAGTGATTGGGAGGAGAAATTTTCTGATGTTGTTCAGGCCACTTTGGCGTGTCCTCTGTCTGACCATGTTCCGTTGTTGTTAGATTGTGGCGGGCTGCGTAGCAGAAGATCTCCTTTTAGATTTGAGAATATGTGGCTCCGGGCTGAAGGTTTTCTGGAGCGA